AAATAAAACATCCTGATAGGCTTCAGGTCCGATCTCCTACTGAGTATGTTGACACGAGTGCAGACACCTCCCACACTTAAAGTGAGACGGACCTAGAACTTTTACATTTAATTAGTCTACCGCTTACAAAAAATATAACTAAACCGGAACTGAAGTCACAGTGTTAGTGGATCAGAACTAAAACATAAATGAAATATGTGTGTTAATTTTTTAACTGTCACTCAGTTAAATTTAGTAGTACGCCTAACTAAAAAAGAAGGCAAAGCAAAAATACCTCACACATAAGGAATTCCTGCAAGAAAATGACATTGGTGTGCTCCGAAATATGCGATTCGACGGTTGGAATCACTGGTGAAAGCAGCTGCAACTACCTTGTTACTATTATTCAAGCCAGCAAGCCGGTAGGTTCTCAGCTGCAGTGGTAAGGCCAGTCTCTTAGAATTCACTTGTTATAAGTCAAAACACAATACGGATACAGCGGAAACTGAATGACTTTAAACAACCGCCAGGTAAAGTGAATGCATGGCCAGCGGTAGTTAGAGTGAGAACAGTTAACGTTGTGAAACAGGAATACAAGCAAACATACTTCTTTCAAAAAACCACTAAAACAAAACCGAATGGCATACGTAGAAATTCAAAATGCCGAAAGGAATAATGGTAGCCGCTTTCAGAATATCTTCTGGTGACATTTCGATTCGGTCGAACGCCTTAACTAAGTCTATTTTCGATTAAATAGTTGCGTCACATATTGTTGCCGTCAAGTCGTGTATGTGGGGCAGTGGAGAGCAATCAGCGGTTGTTTTGCAATTCACAAACCAGTAATCACCAGTGGGTTACCAATCGTTGCTATCCTTTTTCGGTAACATATGGATTGGTGATACACATGGGCTATTCGATGGCCGAACGATTCCAAGGGTGAGCATGTGGTCGAATTCATTTCTAGCAATTCTCAGTTTGTCAGGAGCAAGTCGTAGTGCTTTAGATGTCATGGGTTTGCCTGAGGTTATGATGTGATGCATAACATTGCTGGTTATACACGGTAGATCATTAGACGGGCAATTAAGTTCCGGGTGCATTATGGGTAAATTTTTATTTTGATAGAGTCTCACAGTGTTATACAGTAATATTTACTGATGACGTTTCGAGCACAATTTATTGCTCATAATCATATCAACGTCATCAGTAAATATTACTGTATAACACTGTGAGACTATCAAAATAAAAATTTGCCCATAATGGAATTACATTCTACCACAGTGCCCAAGTTTTATTCTTATAAGTTCCGGGAGCTTATCAACAATCGGTTGGAAAGTTGGATCAAAGATTGCCTTCTTCTTAACGAGTGGCAAGCTGTGGCCTACGTAAGTGATGCGTAGTAGTACCGTCTATCAGCCTTATCTGGAGGACGTCTACGAGTAAATCATTATGGTTAAGTAGGTCCGTGCCAATGATGGGCGTTGTGACGTCAGCGAGAATGAAAATACACTGAATAGGTTTGCATAAACCTACGTTCACGTAGACGTATTTCCTACCGAAAGTGGCAATTGGTTTTCTATTTGAAGCCTGTAAGTTGAAGGTAGGTCCCGTCTGTCGATCTGCTGCTGTAGCAGGAAGGACGCCGACTTCGGCGCCTGTGCCGACTAAATACCGGGTCTGGCTGACCACATCACGAATGTAAGGTAGGCGACTAGTGCCACTGGCGACGGTTGCCGCTCACGCGCGCCGGCGGGATAGTTTCCCACAGACATTGCCAAAATAACAAGGTTTTCGGCAACATTTCACTTCCTGGCCATAGATGTTATGGTACCAACACCAGTCCGGGTATGTTAGTCAACGTGCCTCGCATCTAGATCGACTTGGTGAGTTTCGCCGTTGAGGAGAGTTCGGACAATGATTGGAGGAATTACAAGATATGTTTGACCTAAGCAGCTGCTGGACAGAGTTGCATAACTCTATTACTGCAGTGTCTCTACTCGAAATCTCTTTGACAGTTGAGCATATTTCAGTGACTTACCATCTTGTTATTTCTAGAATTTTATCTGCAGAAACAGCTAAGTCGTCTAAAATAACACCTTGAAAAGTCACCAGCACAACCTGTACTGACTGTAGCAGTTTGGATAAGAATAGTTCTATGAAAAGTCACCCATCGAACTGACGTTGGCCGATAACTTCCCTCATTCTCGATAGCATGCTCACAGCCGACCGATCACTTGACTCCATGTGGCGAAATAGTTCGTCAAGGCGCTATCGATCCGTGCGGTCATTTCTCCTTAGGAGAGTTGCTTTAAACGACTCATACGCGTTACCTACCCCTGGACTCGACATATGCATAGTTACGCATTAGCTGAATTCCCACGGTAAGGCGTGGACAACTGCAAGGAACTGTGAATGTTGGTCACTTAACCCATGTTCGCTGAAATCACACTCAGCTATCTGGATCCATGATTAAGCATTATCTGGGCAAAATGGGCAAATGCTTAGCTATCTAGGGATCGTGTACAAACGAATAAACTTAACATGACGGCGTGCTGGATGGCGTGGATGCTTGACCGGAAGCCTTCAGCTAAAATTGAACTTAAACAGTGAGGGTCAGCATCCAATGTTGAGTGATGAATGCTGTGGCCAATAATTTTTTGATATTATCTACTGCTACAATTCTATTACCACACACCATTGTGTTTTGCCGTTACATGTGTATGTTGACTCGCTCATGTATTTTGGTTATCCAAATTCCTTTCTGTAATATTATCTGGTCTTCTTGTTAGGGGGATGTTTCAACATGCAATTTTAGTTTGGTATTCTTTTTCACAAATGAATTTGCTGGGCGAATGTACTTTAAATAATTGAGATATTATTGCTTTCTTGTCCGATTCATTTTTACAAAGGATGAAATGTTTCTGACAAAGTTGTTGGAAAGAGCATTTTCTTATTTATTCAGAAAAAATCGGCTAACACGGGAGCTCATTTTCACCCCATCTACTTGTATATTGAGTTCACCAGCAAATTTAAATTCACATTCATAGTACCTTTTTATAACACTTCTTTAAGGATTCCTACTGGGATCCCAATATTCGTTGGTCTGTTAATTCTTTGGTCACTGATGTAACCAACCATTTCAGTTAGAAGGTACATTTTTGGACAGAGATTTTTTGTCTAAAGATAGTATAGTTATATCTTTGATGTATATTTTGCCATAAAATGGAATTCGTCGGTTTTTAACAGCCACAGTAAACGATTATTAGTCTGCTTGTTTAATGAAGAAAGGTTTATATTCCGTCACATAAACTACTCTAGTGAAATAAAATTAGAATTGAACTCAATAGCCACTGTATTCTTCTAAACGAGTAGTCATTTACAGTAAATACGTTATAGTAGTTAAGTTAAAGACTTGTTCTGTTTGAGATGACGAGATAAATTAACTTTTAAATTAAGAGGAGTCCCGTTGGTACCCCAATAAATATTGATTAGGGAGATATTGCAAAACTATGTTTTGTTAAGGCTTTTTTCCACCTGTCACCATACTCCCCAATGAGTTTTTAATTATTTAACTTGTCTGAGCTTTTATTACAATGTGCAAAGTTCACCTCGTTATCCAAACTGTATTCCACTATTACACCTTAAAATAACAGTTCCACTATGTTTTCCATTATGTTAATTTCGTCTTAAGCAATGGCTCTATGGGGATACCCTTATTGTTTGTACACTGCATGTGAACCATGTCGCATATTCGCTTTCTATTGTATATGGACCTTGAAATTTACAAAAGTTAACTGATATCAAGCACTTTCAAATACGGTGCTGGATATATTCAGAATATTGTGTGCATTTTTATAAGGCTTTCACTTTCTAAGATGTCACTTCACATTTACCAATCTACATGATTCACTTTATGAAATAAGCATGACTTTATAGGTGTGTAGGTGTTTTTTATGTTGCAGTTATGCTTGGTTATTTCTTTAAACTCAAGGGATAGGGCTGTATTGTGCTAAAAGTGTATCTCAGCCATCGATCATGACTGAGATTTGTCAAATCACTCTACAAGAATGTTAGTGCTTATTATATGAGTCTCCTGTGAATCAGCATTAGTCATTGACTGACCTAGACTACAAACTTGCTGCTCATCATTATCACCACCCAGGATGTATAACAGTGATATCGTTCACTACTGACTTAACCAAACTACTTCAGTAGCCAAAAACAAGTTAACTAGAAAGAACTAAGGGTTTTTCTCGTTTTCAACAGCTCAAATATTGAAATTTACTTTATTTGAGAAGTATTGGTTATATCCTAAAACTCAGTTTTGTATAAATGAGTTATGACCTACGTATACATCACGATGAGCCTTATGCAGCAATATAATTTGCAAAACAGTCCTTTCAATAACCAAACTTAACTAGCTGTGTTATTCCTGTTAGTCAAGCTGACTGAAGAGAAGACATTTTGGACGAATACTTGGATCAAATATCTTTGCAGTAAACAGAGGCGGATTTCAGGATAAAGTAGACTAATTACCTTTCCACAAAAATTTGAATTCTAACTTTTCAAGTAGATTTGAAAACACGTCGTGAAAATATCGTGTTATTAAGAAAGTTATTTGAGTGTAAGTCCCGTAGACACCTAAATGATAGATAACTTGTGAATATCATACAATGTGAATTCAACCAATGCAAATCCCAATGAATTCTGAATCGACAAAAGTTTATCAAACTTTTCATAAGATTTTTATTTGTTTCACTTACCACAGCTAATGTTCATTATGTGATTGGATAAGTGAGATGAATAATAATCACAAAAATTTAAAAAAAGAAAATTGAAACATGTGAGTTTACAACAAATGCGTTCGTTAAAGAAAGACAATATACACAATTACAGTCTACACATTAAGCGACTGGAAGATATCCATTAGACCAACCCTCTCGATAAACAACAGTTGATTATCATTATTGTGTCGAATTTCAACAAACGCCCGACCTCTAGTTGACTTAACAATTATGCTCATCTTACCAATCACCAGTTTCATCAATTCCCTATGAACGGAAATAAGTAAAATAGTCATTGTAGTGAACAGAAGCTAAATAAATAATATACAATTAAATAAAGTTTATAATTGTACGTGTAGAACTTGGGCACTGTGGGAGAATGTAATTACATACTAGATAAGTTTATTTGATACAACGCACAGTGGTAAACTATTAGTAACTGAATGAAACACTTCGTTGTACATAAGAGAATAAGTTTTTTCACAAAGCTTCATAATTTCTTTTATATGTTTTTCCCATCTTCCCCTTGTTGTTTGTTGCAACTCTTCACATTAACAGTATAGGTGTTGCTTTATGTCAACCGCACGCGTTCGGCGTTTATTTGATGAACAAAAGTTCAGTAACTTAACTCTCTCTTCTCTCAACTAACCAAATTACTTTTCAGTGCTTTTAACCTGCCCCACCCCATCATCTGATTACGTGCAAATGAATGCATTGCGATGGCCCAATTTCTTCTAGGTTAACTGTGTACATATGAACGCTAGAGGACAAACGAATTTTGTACAACTGCCTGTAAGCTTACACTAACATATGAAATTCATCACTTAAAGAAAAGTGTATAATGTCACTTTCGAATGAACAAAATTCATTAAAAATAAGTGAAATATGCAGTACCTTATATAGTGTCTACAAACTGGTACGAAGACCGTGGGTTTTGAATATGCAACACTACTGAAATGCATGAAAATTGAAATAACACTGTGTAATTCCATTATGGGAAACATTTATTTTGATAAAGTCTCACAGTGTTATACAGTAAATATTGCTGTATAACACTGCGAGACTTTATCAAAATAAATTTTACTCATCATGGAATTACATATCATATCAAATATCTTGAAGGTAAAACCAACAAAAGCAAATGAAACGCATTTAATAGAAACTACTTATTCGCATAAGTAACAAATACTACAGTTAATTTCAAATCGATTATACTGGATGTGTTTATAGCCTGCACTTTATACCTACAAACTGCAAAAAATCTCATCAAATCTATTGAACTAATAGTAGTAAAGTATTTCCGTAAATCTACTCTTACAGTAAAGAAGAAAATAGCGGTGAGGCTCGAAAGCAGTGTTTGTTAGGACAAACGCATTGCAGGTAGATGAATTTGGTTCACCTTATCTGTATTTGCGCATCACTAGCAAATTGGTGGAATATCACCACATTCGACAGCTTGTTGGATTTGGCAGTGTTGTAACACTCCTCTCACAGTTCTTCTCTTCGAATGCTATTTCCAGTGCCCAAAAATTATTGTTACTTTTCTGAATATGTTTACTGATATATTACTCATAAGTGGCGCTCAACCCACTCCCACCCTCATTATAAAGTCTTTCATGTAACCGCCGCACAAAGGTCCCACCCGCTGTTCTTTGGGCTTCTCGTCTTCACATTCTTGTATCTATCTTTGCAGCAGACTGGCGTTTACTCTTTTTCCTTTAACTCCTCTTTTTATTGTGTACACTGGACCACGTCTTGATGTGACCACATATGGTCCCTCCCACTTCGGTAGAAGCTTTCCTGATCCTGGTCCACTTCCGGTAGTATACTTTCGTTCTCTACATTTCACCTGGTCACCTACTTCAAACAGCTTCCAAGCTTTGATTTGTTTCTTGCCATAATTTTCGATGTGTTTCTTGCGCTTCTCTTGTATATTCTGAATAGCTTGTTTCCGCTCATTTGTCCATCTCTTACTGTTCCATTTTTGTTGTTGTGGCCAAGTCTTATGGTGCACCGGTAAGCGTGGTTTCCTCCCATACATCAGCTTGAAGGGCGATTTTCTGTTGTCCCCTGCATTATGGCACGATATCCCAGTATTACCGACGGTAGGTCAGTTCCCCAGTTGCCTCTTTTCGCAACTAGTCACTCCTTGAGTGTACGATTATTCCTTTCTGTTAGGCCGTTTGTCTGAAGATACGGCATCACTCTAATTCTCCTGACACCCAATGATTTGATTTATTGATTTACTTCGGCTATCTCCTACGGGAGGATGAGCCGGCTTCATGAACATCTCGAATCATCGCTGCCCAGGCGCGGCGATCTGATGTAAGGTTTTGCGACAGGGTTATCCAATTCTTGTTCCACAGACGGAGTCCGTAGACGGTTTGTAGCCCCAGGCACTCCATATCAGCCTTGACTGTACCAAGCCATGTTTTCAGCTGTCCACTCCTGCGACATCGCCAAGATGGTAATGGCGAGGGATTTAGAACTGATTTGACCAGATCGTCATCTGGTCGGCGCAGAACATGGCCAAACCACCGAAGGCGACGTTGTTGGGCCAGTACTGGAATTTGGTTGATGTTGTAGCAACGACGAGAGTTCATGAAGTTTCATGGGAATTTGGTACGAGTGATGTCCCCAGAATCGCTCGGCCTTTTGTTCGAGAGTGCAGCTCTAGCTTTTACACAACCAAGTGTGACCTACAAGGCAGTAGGAGTGGAGTAGAGAGTCCACTATCCATTGGCAGCCGGTGACCGGAGTTCGGTTCATACGCCCTTTCGAATGGGGCCAGACATCCAGGACATCCAACAAGCCCTTTGTCCATACGTCTGCCGGTGAGCTCTAGTGAGCTTCATACGCCAGTCGTTGGAGGTTTGGAATCAGGGTTTAGCCATCTCCCGTAGACTGTCATCAAATGGACAGTCAACCCGGTGAAGAGCGCCAGGCATCCGCTTTCGCCCTCTCACTTTGGTGAAAAACACCTCCGGCACGTGAAGGCAGTGAGTAGGACTTCCTCAGGAGAGGCTATGTAAGACGCCCGGTCATATGGGAGCATTTCAAGAGGTGTGCGGAGGGGTGGCCAACCCGCAGCGCAAGGCACCCACCCCCGACCATCCTGAGGCTTTGGAGGCTCAATGCCTCCAGACGAGTCTTGAACTCCTCACTCTCCAAACAGGGACCTTGATGTGCCAATATCACCTTTGGTACACCATGATCCGCCACAATATGTCGAATTACTGCCTCGGTTACAGTCTTGGCGTACTGACCTGGAATCTCCACGGCGTTTACCCACCGCGTAGCGTGTTCCGTCATTACCAAAATGTATTGATTTCCACTGGACGTTTGAGGGAAAGGACCCATTTCGTCGACTGACCACAAGTTACCGACTGATGTTACGGGAATCGTTTGTAGCGGTGTTCGAATGCACTGATCACCCTTCATCAATTGGCACTGCAGGTAAGCGATATCGCTTCTCATATTTGGCCAGTACGCACTTTGGCTCACTAGATCACGTGTCTATGCAACGCATGTATGGGCTAGTTGGTGGTATTCTTGAATTACCTCTAGATGAAGGCTCTTTGGCATCACCCAGCTACTACCATTGTCTTGCCAAGTTAGGACGCCTTTAAGCGTTTATTTTGAGTCTGTGTTTGCGATTCAGTAGTGTCTCTAACTCTGTATTCTCTGCTGTCGTCTCGAATTCTTTTCATTCACTTATCATCTGGATGACTGCCTTAAGAGTAGGATCCGACTTCTGGCGGTGAACAAGTTGTAAGGGATCTTGCTCGGAAGCGTTCACTGCATATGCTACTTTTGGTAGTTCGCCCTCGTTATCTGATCTCGACAAATAGTCAGCTATTACATTTTTCTGGAATATGTCCAATCGTGAAGTCTTGTAAGCGTAACATCCATCGTGACAACTTCCCTAATGGATCCCTCGCTGTTTTCAACCACTGAAAAACTTTTTGGTCGGTCTCAATGTGAAATCGGTGGCCGATTGCTTTTTTCAGTGCCTAAAACATATTGTTACTTTTCTGAATTTGTTTACTGATACACTACTTTATCTGATCATATGTAGCACTCACAGCACTACAACAACATTCGATTTTTGGTGCTGACCTTCGTGGAGGACTGAAAGCACCATAACCATTCAGCTGAGTTCTGCATTCGATTTTTTAAGAACGACCCTTGGTTAGCAAATTGTACCAGTCTAGGAACATGAATCTAGAAATATGAATCTCGTTTTGTCTTTCGAAATAAGTACAAATAAGTTGGAGGACCTATAATAACTGTCACATGAATGTTACAAAAAGTCTCATACAACTTATTCCATTAATAAACTAGAGGAGAACATAAAACTATTTGAGCCAATAGGTTTTGGAATTGAATTCACAGGAAATGTCTGCACCGAGACTCAAAGGTGTCAATTCACTATATCGTAAATGAGGCGAAATAGACTCATTAGAAAATGTTTCGTTAGGTATTACACATAAGTTGCTTTTTCAGTAATTCTGTGACCACGATGATGTGTGTGACATGCATCTACACCAGTTTCCGCTTACTAGCACGACATCTATATATTAACATTTTCACATCTATTTATTATATACGAAATCTGAGTACTCAATTGTCGAGTAAACGAAATACACCAACAGTACTGATTACTTGCAAATGAAACTATAAGAATCATTTTTAAGGTCAATTGTATTTTTCCCGTTGATTGATCAGACCGAAATATTCCGCTGATGTTGACATGTCGGCTCCTAGGAAAGAATGCTTCGACGATGATGACTAGTAGCAAAATCCAGGATGTGCATTTCTTTCCATCAGGGACTTGTCAGTGAGAATACTACCACTCATTGGAAACTTCAGGTACATCCAGCCGATGGGTCCCAAATAGGACAAAATGCTCATCCTGGATTCCACAACTATTCACCAACAACGAAATAACGTTAGAAAGTCAGCTGAAACTGTTTTTGTGAAAGTAAGAAAATCTGAAAATGTCCCTCATAGTTCAAGCATTATTCTACATGAATCTAAAAATAAAAACACTTGAAGAAGATTCTGTATTTACCGATTTATTTTTGTTTATCAAAAGATAGAATGTATGGTTTTACTGTGAAATAAAGCATCTTTTAATGAGTAATCATTGACAGTATTTCACAAATCGATTTCTACTCCCCTTAGACTTCTCGAAAAGTAATTTTTGAATGTTCACCTATCCTACATGTAGAATTTGGACTAATCTCGAAGACTGATCGCAGAACCTGAGAGTGTGATTCACTTTTCATGACTAAATTTTACTCATTTTTATAGCTTAGTTTGACTATTGTCAATTTCACTAATGCAGCTCTTCGAAATATTTGAATGTTGCTGCTACTTCTACAATGCATGTAGAGACGTGCACTGGAAATGATTAATCAGAATAAAAATTCCATTTCTCTTCCTTAGCAACATCACTGGCCTTCTCAAATTATATAAAATAAATCCTAAACAGCTGGAAACAACGAATATAAGGTTTCCTTCAGATATGAACAGCTACTAGTAATTCCATCAGCAACCTGAACAAAACAAGCAATATCTCATTGAATTGAACTTAAGCATAATCATCTTGAATATCCATGGGTGAATGTAAGCATTTCCACTGACTGCTTCATAAAACTCAATCCTATTATTCTATCAGAGCAAAATTACAGTTTATGACAGGATGTGCGTCGGTGGCACAGTGGTTAGGACTCTCGCCAACCATGCACATGGCCCGGGGTTCGACCCCCTGCAGGCGCACACCCGATATCTATGGTCGGCCTGCAAAATTTGGGCTACCGATATCCATGCTGAAAATTCCATACCTGTACCTAAAAATACGGTGTGACATCAAGCTGTAATAAAAAATATAAAAAATAAAATAAACAGCTTACTTGATTAAGTTTTTTGAATTCAACCAACTCATTGAAGATTACTTCTAAAATGACACGTGATGTCTGCTTGTCTGCTGGTAATTTTTGCGATACTCCTAGAATATTCCCACATTCATGAATATAATACTCTAAATCTTCTTCATTGCCTAAATTCATAGTTAAGGTAAGAAAACAAGCGAGTAACCTAAAACAAGTTAACCAGCAAAATAATAAACAAAAGATTAGGAGAAATTGGATGTCAGAGAAATATTAACACAAAAAGACTCCATATTATCTGGTCTTTGGTATTCCAGTTAACAACAAATTAAACTAAATGAAAGACCATTCGACGACAAATGCATAGCTGCTTCGTCGTACACACGTATAGAAAGATAACACTCTTTGTGTTCTTCGGTCTCCTCTTGTGGATAATTTAAAAACAGGACTCCAGTGGAGCTGAGTGACCTGGGTTCACCAGGTGGTCAAAAAGTGAGCTACTAATTGCCTCGCACTGTTTTTTGATAAATATGCCGGATAATGTTCAGACATATGTTCGAAAGATGTGAGCTTTGTGAATCTAGTAAACTAGCTGCACAGGAACAAGTGGTCTTATAAACATATACTGAAATGTTCCAAAGTGGTAGTTTGTCATCCACACCTCCATTGATCACTTGACAACTGTAAAAATTGATCTGTAGCTCAGTGGAAAAGAATGCTTTTCTCTACAATCTGGTTGACACGTTCTTCAGGGTCGCAGCTACAGTATCACCTTTAAATTCAATTCTCATAAATAGCAATTTCTTCGGAATCGTTTGCATTCCTTCAGACTTCGACTTTACTTTCATATTTTTCTCAATTAATCTTGTAGGATATATATTTACTCAATGAAGACTTGACTTATTCATTTCAGTACATCATCGGCCATATCACTGCTATAAATCCTTACTATTCTTGAAACAATGGGTGTACCAAGATCCTTTTTCACCTCAGATAGACCCAAATATGAAAGTTCATGTATTGACCATTCCACACCTTTTTCCAGTAGACTGATCTCTGAAGTGGACCGTCAAACCTCCTTTTCAACAAAGCATCCAAAAAATGAAACTCAATGTTCATTTCGGATTCCCATGTGAACCTCATAGAATGGTGGCTATTTTTGAATTTCTTTATTACCATTACGATTTCAACATAATTGTAAAAGTTACTCTTAGAAGAATGACAGACTGGTACACTAGACTTTTACGGCAGAGAAATGCATTTAAACAGTATGAAATGTGATTTAAAAGGCATGAAATTACGAAATATTTTACAAAGAAGACAGTGTATATGAAGAAGTGTCACCAGCATTGGCTGATTTAAAGACATATTCTTTGAAGATTACAATCACTATTTTCCTTGGTTGTCTCGTATCTTCATTTCGTTACATAAGTTAGATCAACAGAAAATTTCGCATGCTGACTTTGGCTGGTATGACTTACTAGCCCTCTAGGATGCGTATCGTCTACTTTATCCTACTGTTAGCAGTGTATTCCAGCCGTCAGCCAATGCAAGTAGTAGATATTAATTACTTTGCTGATTAGCTCACTCTTTTAGTGAATTTTTTTCTATTAGCGCTGGACTAAGTTACTTTTGGTTTACGTGTTAATCATTTGGTGTTATACTCGCCTGTCAGACTACATAAGTAAGGTATAACTGACACAGTGAAAAGTTTTTGAACACTTGATGCAAAAAACGCATATTTCTGCATAAACATGTTTCGTTTACAGATATCCACAGATTGTTTTATAAGTGGTTTTCAGTGATGCCTGTCTTCACAGAAGCATAAATATAAATAAAATATGGCGTGAATTAATATTCTGAACAGCTGTTTACTTAGACCTGTGTTAAACTGACGAAATGCACGCAGTTACAGGATAACATTTTCACATGCTTAAAAGTGTCAGTCAATGTTTAGAACAAATGCTGTGTTACCATCTTTTTTTATTTACCCCAAACTAAAACAAGATGAAGCCAGAATAGTTAGTGTTTGAAATAAAACAAATCTAATTGGCACTAAAGTGATTATCTATTGACCATTTGTGTACAAATAAATGTAGCTTTAAATTATTCTGAACATTTACAAATGCGATCTGTATAATTACAGAATCCACTAAATGATATTACGTATAAAAAGTAGGTTATTTAGTGAGAATTCTCTGCCTAAACATTGCAGTGATTCTAAATCTTCTACAACCAATGTTAACTATTCCTAGAAAATTATATATTTGTTAGGTAATCTGTGTGATGATTATAATCAAAATTGCCTAATAAACAATCAGTTTTGTAGGATGAATCATATGGAATATTTCTTCTCTTCTAGGCTAATTATACTTGCCCAAAAAGTGTTGTTCCCGATTACTTCGTTGACTCATCCATCTACGATAATGCTATAAACATCTCAAATGTAAGACGGAATTTAAATCTTTGTTGGTATGAACTCACATTTATTTGTTACTTGGGCTAAGCGTGCTTTAGCTGTAGAAAACTGTTCATCTAAATCGAATAATTCCAATGCTGGTGGACCAGGTTCACGAAAATTTGGGGGAAATACCTAGCGAAAGAAAACGATATTCAGAAGATAACTGAATGATATAAAGGGAAAAAATAATAAAAGTTTGATTACGCAAGCAGGTTCACGATAAAGAACAACTTCACACCCCTTGATAAAACTTTCACTGATATATAGTTGAGAATAAACAAGTAAACTTTATTACTTTACTGTCTAAAACTTTACCGCAATATAAAATATAGTGATTTGATTTGTTGTCTTATATGACTGGGAAAACGTCCATCAAAAAGTTTTTCACGACGTCTAACCTTTGCAGACTCAATTGTCAGAATAATAAATGATGATTTTCACAAATTTGTATAATGTTTGATCAAGAGATTTAATTGAATTTTCGATTTTCCCGTCGATTGATTGGACCGAAATGCTCGGTCTCAGGTTGACATGTCAGCTTCTTTTGCAGATGCTTCGACGATGTCTGGGGATGTAATTAGAATCTAATTGGTGAATGGTGACTAGCAGTGGAACCCACGATGCGCACTTCGTCCTATCTAAGACTCGTCATTGGATGTACCTTATCATCTAGAAGTAGATTTCTCTGTACTAAATAAATTATTCTGTTCAGAACAAGAATAACTAGAATGTATAAGTATTTTGAATAAATTCCTCCTTAGACTTTACAGTCATGAATCCATTAGTGTTAGAGTACAGTAAAGGCAAATTAAATTTGAAATAATATTTACGTATGAGTCCATTAAGGATATAAGTATAAAACTTGGGCACTGTGGTAGAGTATAACTCCATAATGGTTAAGATTTTATTTTGATAAATCACACAGTGTTGTACAGTTATATTAACTGATGACGTTTCGAGCACAAACTATTGCTCATAATCATATCAAGTCCATTAAGGAATAACAATAGTCAGTCTCAATTGTCATTTGCATGTATATAAAACGCTTAATTATTAAGAAAATAAAACAAGGAGAAAAAACAATTGAATGACGTTCATTATAATAAAGGTTTTCTTGTATTTCCCAATGAATGAATACAAAACGATATTGTTTTTACTGATGTGTCGCTCAAAACATTCATATGATTTCAAATCCCAAATAGAACACCGAGAAATTGATAAAGAAGAAATTATTATATGCTATGATATTAACTCATTATATGCTAGTATCCCTATTACCGAAAGTCTTGATATCATTTCCAGTCTACTAGAATCAGATACAACGCTATTACAACGATGTTCACTAGACACCAGTGAAATAATTAAGAGCTTGAAATTCTGTCCAGAAATAAATTATTTTACATTTAAAGGGAATTTATATAGACAAACAAATGGTGCTGCTATGGGTTCACCAGTCTCCCCAATAGTCTCTGACCTTTTCATGAATAGATTCGAAGATAACATCTTTTAAAGCATACTCACTCCTAAAATATGGTTAAGATATGTAGATGATACTTTTGTAGTACTAAAACGAGATCTACACAATTCATTCCTGGAGAAGATAAACAGTCTATCTCCCAGCATCCACTTTACTTCGGAAGCAGAATGAGACTTCGGTGAACTACCATTACTAGACTGCCTAGTTAAGAGGAGGGGAAACAAGCACTTTATTATATCTATATTCAGGAAGAAACCCAATCCAACAAATATGTAGACTTAGGATCATCACACCCCATCAGCGCAAAGTTATCAGTTGTCTGAAGTCTTCTTACACAAGCACACTCGCTGATAACGGATGAGAAAGAAAAAGAAGAAACATCAAACATTACTGAAACTCTCAAGTAAAGCAACTACCCGACGAACTTCATCAACAAAATCAACACTGACATTAAGTATGGTTGAAAACGTATTCCGAAAACATGGATCTCAACAGTTACCATTCCGTATAGAGCAAAGACGTCAGACTATATCAGAAGAGTACTCAATAAGCTCGACATCAGAGTTCTCTTCGAAACATCAGACACACTGCGAAGCAACCTTGACCATACAGAAGACCAAATCCCTAAAGATTCTCTACCTAATAGTGTCTATAAAATAAAATGCGTGGAATGTGATGCGATATACGTCGGACAAACATCTCGAGAAATCATAGTCAGAAGAAATGAACACCGTAGAGCATCTGTTCGACCACCGAGAAATCATCGGCTACAGAATCAGGCCACAAAATTGATTTTGACAATATCGAAATAATCCAGAAAAATTTCAGAAATCACAAAAGAACGTCTAGTATCAGAAGCACTTCATATCAAATGGAATCCAAATTTTCTGAATAGGAATGATGAACTGAAACAGAATTTGACCTGGTTACAACACCCCATGAAGTGACAAAATCAACGCGAATGTGATAAGCAATTTCACTATGTAAACACACGCTGTTTTTTATAATTCTACACACTTATTAAATCCAACAATCTACACCTGGTTTTGTTATCTTTACCGATTGGCCAATTTGACAACGAAAAATGAACGATGATTAAGTTGTTATATATGCTGAGATTTTGTGAATTCCGGTTTAATAATTTGATAAAGCTATTAGCATTGAATAGCAAAACGCCAGTAAATCAATATCGTTTTATTTTATTCATTGGAAAAAACAAGAAAACCTTTATTTTAATGAATATCATATGCCCAATTCCCAAATTTTTTCAAACTGTTAAAAGTGAACTTGGTTTGGATATATATAATTGAATAACGTGTTTGTGAAACCATAAGCAGCAAAAGTCTAGTTTTTGAAGGGTGGGTTCTGATCGGTATGAAGGAATTTGTGAATACTACAAGAGATAGACAAAGAAATGGAATACTCTAGATGTAAGTTTAAGGAGTGATAAATAATGATAATAAGGATATAATAATAACGGTGCTGGTAGTATCATCTAGCCACAATAGTAATACCGGTGCAAGATTATCAACTGGTGAGAATTTTGATATGATTTGTTTGAATACAACAGTCAATATGAGAGATGATACGAAAATCTGCGGCGATATCTAATGGTCACCAACATAATGAGAAAGGTTATTAAATCCTGAATGTCCAAAATATAGATTTCTCATTGAAACCTAGGAGGAAGGGAAAGGATTTTGGGTGTTAGTTATCTTTGATTGTAGAGGATACGTTGACTTTATCGCTGATCAAGATGAAGAAAGCGACTGGATACATCTCTTCTGAATATCAAGATAATGTTTTCTTTTATTGACTGCTACGGCTTTAGTTCCCGATAGGGGACGTTTGATTACTCTGCAGACACTAATAAATGACTGGATGTCTGGAGAAACAAAATGGAACTTTGCGCAGAAGTAAATCAGTATGAACTGTCACACTTTGACGAATCCCACAAAACAGAGCACCGAAATAATGACAGTGGAGCAGATAAACACAAAAGTGACGAAAGGAAAAATTAAATTAAATCAAGATGACAGAGAGTGAAGGGTTTCAAGAGATTTCAGAAAGGATGAGTGAAAAAGGTAGACGAGTAGACCATTCCTCTTGTCTAGTACATCACATCATCTCTGGCGTATTAATCGCTATTGTAGCTCGGGGGCGCATAGAAAAATGTTCTCTCTTCTCTCATTAGATTTCAACACTTACGGCTCAAGTAAGACATCAAATGTTCGTCAACAGTCAGATGTGCAGCAGATTGCAAGATGGTAAATTAAACTGATTCCAATAATTTGCCTTCCTTCTAACTATGTTCTGCACAGTGTGCAGATAAAAAATGTGCCAAATTGAAACAATACAAATTAATTTTAGATCCTGCTTTGATAATGTCAGTCTGTTTATCCACCAGAACACAAATCAACTAAATTTGCTTATCAGTAATAAAACGAGGACAGGTAGGAAAGGATAATTAACTTCAGTTTTTATTCAATGAATAAAAGTAATATCAAATAGCCTTTACTATTCTTGAGTGATTTTTGTTAAGGGTTGATACATATGGCGACTGTTTGGGAAAAAATACGAAAAGTGTGTACGATTTGTGTGACAAATCCATCGCAAGTCTTATTTTTTGTATCAAGCAGAAACACTAATTTTTATACAAACTGAAAATAGAGAACACCAGTTTAAATAATATTGGGTAATAGATCGTACAAATATATAGAATCCTATTTTAAGCTGTACTTATGTGTACTGTGCATAATTCATTAGAATTTTCTCCTGTCATCAAAATATGGCGACTATTCCCAAATAACAAATTTTCGAGTTTTCATGGAAATTCTTGAGTTTTTTGACACTTTTACCCCAAACCCCTAAAATCCTCGAAATTACCCCATATTTTTTTATTTGGGCTTTTTAGTGACTTACTTGATATTTGAGGAAATGGCAGTGAGATTTTAGGCAGGCCACATAAACGTCGATAAGAAAGCTCAAGTTTCTTATTTCTAAAATATCCGAGACTAATGTGAGGTATAAACGCATGTTATCCATGGATGTATCATCACTATTCACTAATGTACCGCTTATGGAAACAGTAGACTATATTTGTCAAGAAATCGCCGAAAGGCAATTAGACTTAGGAATCCCCTTGTGTAGCCTCAAAGAATTACTTCTTAAATGCACAATGAATGTTCACTTCGTCTTTAATAATGCATACTATCGACAAGTAGATGGAATAGCTATGGGTTCACCATTAGGCCCAATGTTAGCTGACTTCTTTCTCGCAAAACTTGAAAACGGGAAATTGAAGGACGTCATCAAGCAGTTTGATATGTATTATCGATATGTCGATGATACATTTATCTTAGCTGATGAGAATGTTAATATAGACGAATTGTTGCTGAAATTCAACAACATCCACCCTTCGCTTACCTTTACTTGTGAAGAGGAGCAGGACAACAAACTACATTTCCTGGATGTCTTGCTAAATAAGAGAGAAGATGGGTCACTTGGGAGAAGCGTGTATAGAAAAAGCACTTTCACAGGGCAATATACACACTTCCTTAGTTACGTGCCCATTAAATATAAAAGGAATGTTGTAAAATGTCTTGCGAGCAGAGCAAGAAAGATATGTACAGATGACCTCTTACAAAAAGAATTT